GATATAATCATCACAAGCATACACAAGTATATATATATATATGGGAGAGAGAGAGAGAGAGAGAGAGAGAGAGAGAGAGCGAGAGAGAGAGAGCGAGCGAGAAAGAGAGCGCGCGAGAACGAGAAAAAAAAGATAGATAGAAATCGATAAATAGATAGATATATTATATGACGTTGCATGCGATCACCAGACACGTCACACAACATCGTCATCATAGAACACTGGACGTGATGACTACTACAATCAACATCTCAGGAAACATCTCAACCAGACTAGACGCTCTTGCTCCATGACAAGCATGGCTACACAGAGATGAGTCCCTACAGAGATACCTATAGATTCCCTTACCGTGATCAGCATGCACTTGCTCTCCTTGATCGCGCCGCAGCATCCAAGGAAGCCAATAACGAAGACGAGCACACCGATGCCTATCACCGCCCAGGCTGCAACCCTGCAACGCACCATAGATATAGAATAAAGAACGAATATGAACACACACACACGCCCTAGATTCCGCGTTATCAACATCCGGATCCCGATCGACATCCGGATCCGGATCAACAATCATTTCCGGATGTAATGTGAATGTCTTGGATTTCTAAAAAATGCAGAATGTCGGCATTACGTATATCGATGGGGCTGAGTGCGAGGAAAGTATAATAGAGGCCGCAAGGCACGCGCGGTCGATGTCAAGTTACTTAATACTAAAATTACGCACAGACGCCAGAATGTAAACACACACGCGTGCACGCACTCACACACACACGCACGCACGCACGCACGCACGCACGCACACACGCACGCACGCACGCACGCACACGCACGCACGCACGCACGCACACACACACACACAGACGTACGCACGCACGCATGCATACACACACACACGTGTACACACGCCGAACAGCGGATAACTTACGTCATGAGTTCATCGTCTGACGATGTTCCGAGTATCTCGAGTATGTAGGCGTTCTCTTCAGCTACGAGGAACCAGATTCCGACTGCGATGAGACCGGCTCCTGACAGCTGTGTGCAGAGAGGAGGTTACAGATGTGTTCACATGAGAGAGCGAGAGAGAGCGAAAAATCCTATGATTCGTCCTGCTCTCGCAATCTCTCTCTCTCTTTCTCTCTCAATCTCTCTCTCTCTCTCTCTCTCTCTCTCTCTCTCTCTCTCTCTCTCTCTCTCTCTCTCTCTCTCTCTCTCTCTTCGTCGCGCTCTCTCTCTCTCTCTCTCTCTCTCTCGCTTTCTACTTGCGCGGCCACCTGTACGAGCGACTCTCACTCACCCAGAAGACGAAGTTGAAGACGAACAGCAGCATTTTAGCGCACGCAGCGCCACAACCGACGGCCATGGTAAAGGTCAAGGTCAATGTCAAGGTCAAAGTCAATGTCAAGGTCAAGGTCAATGTGTGAAGATACGCGAAGGTTCCGAGCGATCGAAGACTCCTCTATAGGTGTTCGCAGATACCTAATAAGCAAGAAAACTACAACGTACTATATTCCGGATGTGATCTAGCCCACAGCGAGCGGGTTTTACCTGACCCATGTGTGAACCGCTACTGATGGACACAGCACGATGGTCCGTTGACCACGGACATGATAGGATGACCACCTATTACGATAAATTAATATTACTATCTTACTATAATTTGGCGAATGTTGTATGTATGTATGTATGTATGTATGTA